ATCTCTGTCGGGCCTGGCAACGTTATATCCGTTGGTCCTGGCAGTGTAACCTCTGTTGGGCCTGGCATCGTGACCTCTGTCGGGCCTGGTAGTGTTATTTCCATCTGGTCTGGTAGTGATAGTTCTGATACACAGGATGGCAGCAATGAGGCTGGAAGGCTAAGCTGGACTGTTTTGTGCTGTTTCATTATTGCAAACAGTCAAAAATTCAGAAATTATGGTCACAAACAAGTGTTATTAAGGAATGAGGACCCTCATACAAACATTTTTATCATGAACTTCATTACCCAGCCCTACTTGTGCATTAAAAATCAGGTCAATATCATATTAAAGTCAGTGAATCTTTAAAATCAACACTCCGGTTAAAGGTTGTTCTTACTTTGCTCAGTCATAAAACTCCAGTTAAAGCCCTATATATGGTCGCCGTGTGTTCTGGTCAAGTCGCCTTTTCCTCTTTCTCTCCAGCCTTTACTATCCAGCACCCAGACCATGTGATGGCATCAGATCAAAAAACACCTGAAGATAAAGTAGATTTTTTGGGGAAAACTTGTCTTTCCAGCCAGCCATCTGTTGCAGGGTGGAAGACTGCCACTAACTCCCACTTTGAACTAAGACCATAAAGTCTTTACTTTGTGAAAAGTCTGCAGCTTGTATTTTAAAGTGTTTTTCAAAAGTTTTTTTCATTTTATTTTTAAATTTCGTTTTCTGCTGTCTTTGTAAATGGCAATGCGAGGGAATCCAAGTTTAGTTAAAAGACCGTGAGAACATTAAGAATTAGTGGATTCCACCATCTGTGGCTCATAATGGCATGAAAAGCTTCAGAGGATCCTTGCACACGGGGGTCAGGCTGCAGTGCTTTTATGTTGGTGGTGTTCAGGAACACCTATGAACACCATCAACATGGACACGGCTCATCACTGGATCATGAAGTTCAGACTCTTATAAATAAAACCACAGTGCAACAATGAGCAGGGACCAAGGCTCAATTAAAATGGACTGAGGCCAAGCGGAAAACTGTCCTCTGGTCTGACCAATCAGAATCACACTCTGTGTTTGGAAATCATGGATGATGTGTCCTTCAAGCAAGAGGAGACCACCCAGCTTGCTGTAAGCACACAGTTCAAAGCAAGTATTTCCTGTAAGTAAGGCAGGGCAGCATTAGTGCTGGACATCTTTAATGCTCCACTGTGAATGCTGATTTCAGGAAGAAAATCCTAAACCACCCTGTAAAAATAGTAGCTCAGAGGTTTTAAACCATTTTGCCTGAACTGAAAACAGGTCTGTCTGGACTGAAACTAATTCCGCTCTTCACTGAAAGCATCGAGGAAACACAGCAAAAACAAATACCTGAGGAGTTGTTAAGTGTTCGTAATAGACCAGGTGTTGGATTCCTGTCAGCTGATAACAAACAGGTGCAGGTGGAAACACCGTGAGTGTTCACACAAACATACCCTGATCTCTTTTTAATGCTTAAACTCTAAATGAGCACAGCTTCATCACACAGTTGATGATGGTAACTAAACATAACACACCCATGGTTTACACATGGACAAGTAAAGTCATATCACAATACTTAATAATTTTTATGAATAGATCTGCACTCAAACGCAATGTTGAAAGGTCAGAATGAGGAATCACTGGCTTATGACAGTAAACATTGTAAACTATGGTTAGGGTTACCATGGGGTTATCAGGTAATTAGACAGATGTGTGCAGAAGTCAGATTGATTCATAGACCGCTACCACATAAACTTGATCTCTCTCATTTGTCTGTAAGCAAGGTACAAACAAAACAGCTTAGATACGTAAAAAAGCATCTTGAATCATCTTATTATATATTGTTGAAATGATTTTTTAAAAATGATTAGTAATGGTACTTTTAAAAAAAGTGCATAGAGTGGTGGGGCTGAATCCTCGGTAGGTGAGCAGATTGAAACTCAGTGGGCTCTTTGTAAACATGAACAGAAATCATGGAGTCTTATATAGCACAGTCTTCTTAATGTAAAGACAATAGCAAAAGGTGCTGATGAAACCCCATCCATCCAGTCATTGCCACCCCAGGACATGGAGGCAGCAGGGAGCTTTCAGCTCTTCCACCTGCTCTTTGCTAGATTTCTTTGGCAGTGCCATCATAGTATTGTTCAGGCTCACTAGTGCTTGTGTCCTTTCACTAAGGCTTTCTGTTTTGCTTCAGAACCAGCCTGCAAATTCACCTTCAAATCCTTCAGCTCCGACCCTTTTGGACCTCTGGGCCAATAAACCTTGTGGACTGTTTACTGAATTGTCCCCCAGATCTGAGGCTTAACCTTAACAGGAATGCAAGGCCTTGAGCTCCTGACAGTGTCGAGTAACATTCATTTAGTAAGGGCTCAAAGAGAACATTTTTAGCCTATTTTTAAGCTGTTATTTATTTGTACATGCAGGAGAGATCCTCGTGACAGTTTCAGGGCTAAAAACACATTTAGGCTCCGTTAAAATCTGCAACCCACTCCAGGTGTCACAGTCTATTTTTTTTTTTTTTTTGAGAACTGCACCAATATGATTTCTATAACACAGAGGAACAGAAGCGAACATTGGTACCCTCGATGTTTGATCTGTTTTCTGACAAGTCAGTGGAGAAAACTTTAACAAGTGCATTCTGGGTAAACTTGTTTTAATTCCTTGAGTTAACAGAATCTCAAACTTAACATTTTGTATTCAAAATATTTACTTATTTAGAGGGAATCGGGGCTAGAAGGTGAGCTGCATCAAAATGTAAGTAAACAGGAGATTGTGATGGGAAGGACCACGCAAGCAGTGTTTCCAGATGAGTGCTTGTTTATTTATAATGTGTTTCAACCAGTTTGCTTTAGCAGCTTTCCAGCTGTACTCCAGTTCAGCTCCACACACAGCTCTGTTCACCAACTCTTTCCCTTCGAGCAGCTACTGAAATCAGGAAGGTGTGGTTAGCATCATGGATGTCAGCTGTGTCAGCCAACCTTACTGGGCACTGTCCCCTGAAAAAGCCGCTCCACTCCTCCACCACCGAGGTCTATGTTCTGACTTGTTTTAACAGGCCACCTATCCCACATCTGAAAGTATAACAGGGTAACAGCTGATTGTACAATGTATGTGTGCCATTATCTATGCTGAACCAGACATTCCAGCAATAGCTGGTGTCTTCCTTATACGAGAAACACTGAGTGACAAGCAGATACAAAAGGGCTGACCTGTCACAATAAAACAGTCCCAGGTCAGTGCCACATATGCAGATGATACGCAGTTATATTTCCACCAGAAGGCAGAGAATACAAATGTAAATTAAATAACAGGAAGGCCTTACCAACATAAATATTAAGAGTATTCATGATATCAAGAACTACAGTATTGATAACTGACATTTGTTAAGTGATACAATTTAATGCACCCTTTTCTAAATAGAAGTAGTTTTTGGTTTCCTGGCAAGTAAAAAAAAAAAAAGGCAGACAGTAATAATGAGCTAGTTCTCACCTGCTGCTGCAGAAGCTCAGAGGCTGCCCAGAGTGCACTGGTCACTCCGTCTCACACCACACAAAACTGACTGTTAGCCAGTTGAGTATTTTTATGGACACCAGCAGGGTTGTGGCTTTCAAAATAAACATTTGTGTTTGTGCTAAACAAACAGAAACTCCTCAGGCACGGCAACAGAAGTGGAAAAACCTGCTTACACAGTGTGTGTGCGTTTATATTTACAAAAATAAATAAATTCCCCACTGCGGGCAGTCTTTATCCTTCACCCTCAGGTCCTCCACCAGAGGCCTGGGAGCTTGAGGGTCCTGCTGTTCCTAGGACTGCGCTCTTCTGGACAGAGATCTCTGATGTTGTTCCTGGGATCTGCAGGAGCCAGTTGTCCAGCCTGGGGGCCACTGCGCTGAGTGCTCCGACAGGGACCACTGATGCCCTCACCCTCCTCTCAGCCCTTGGTATTTCTGGGTTTGCTTCTCTTGCTCCTTGTTCCTGATGTTGCTATCACTCTGTAGCAACATGTTTTTCTTGTCCTTACTTGAATAAAAGTGCTAAAGACAACACAGTTAGATAGCCATAACAACATATATTTGCATCAACAAGGTGATTCCCAAAATGCCTTCAGCCTAAGCCTATCTTTGCATGCCGTGCTGTCCTTAAAAATGTTAAGGAGCCTGGACAAGTGGAGGACAGAAAAAGTATGAGGCCTAAAAAAACTGCAGTGGACAAACAGTATGTGAAAGTTATGGAATTGGAAAAACAAAAACCTGACACTGCATCTGGACGTTCTGCTGATTGTTTGCTGTTCACTAAAATCTCATCAGAAATGGTGTCAGAATGGTGGCTGTCAAGAAGACATTAAGGGCTGGAAAAAGGGCAAAAAGGCTGAGGTAGTCAGACAAGAACCTGCAGCTGTCTGATGGATTTATGACTGCAAATTTGAAAATTGTGGATTAAATTGTTGTCAGTATGTAAGGAGGAGATCAGAAGAGAGGTCCAGCAGCCATCTGTAAAACACTAATAATTGAAGCAAAAAAAAAGCCTCTAAAATTAAGATGACCTATCAAACATTTGTGGACAGGCTATTGCATCAGTCTTACCTATCAAACATTTGTTTACAGATGTTCTGTAAAGTCAAGATTTTAGTTTTTGGGTTTTACACTACGGGGCCACCGTACAGAGCTCACAGGAAATTTAAATCATTAAAGTTTCACTGAAGCCTTCCTGCATGCACACTGGCAGCGTCTCAGTTTAAAGTCAGAGACAATCAGGGCGCCTTCAGAGCAGCAGCGCCCCCTGGTGTTCCCGATTTGTATGAATAAAAATGTGTGCATTTTAACTTCGGTTTTGCATTTTAAAGCTGATGTACTCAGGGATCTTTGAGTTTTTTGTTAGTGTGTAATTAAAATTAGTTTCTGTTTTTAGCACCATGAAGAAATTAACCTGATTTAATTTCAGACAAGACAGAATAAGGTAGAAAGGAAAGTGGGAACAAATTAGAGAACAGACATGCAGGATTAGGGTTGTACTTAAACCCAACATGGGCCATCTGCTCAACCAGGTAAGCAGATCCCAAACTGATTTATTAGCAGTAAATCAAAACTGGAAATGAATCTAAATAAAATAGTAAATAGTATCAAAGCTACTCATAATTTTACAGATCCACATAAGACCTTATTCAGGATTAAACAAGGTCAAACCAAAGACACACATCCATCAATTAATGCTGAAGGAAACTTTTAGTTGGCGCATTAATAATCAGCAACTTACACCCATCTGTATTTATTTCATTTTTTGCAATTAAAATCTGATCATCTGTTAGTGTTTATAACTACTGATATGAAAACAGAAAACACATTTCACTTCAAAACGTGAAAGACACAGAACTATTAAAAATAGTCAGTACTGCGTTAATCCCCTGCATGCACTCCAGCAACAGTAACACTGCAGCAGTACTGGTGTCTGATATCTGGCTGTACTTTCCTGCTGCTGTCATAACAGCTGTTATCGAGGGGAATAGATCAAATCAGTCTCTGTATCAGGCTGTAAACACGTTTATTTCTGCTGTAAAGCTGGGCATTTTAACGTGGGGCTGAGTCACTGCTAGAGACTATAGTGGACATTGGTTTCTGATTGGCTGTCTGAACTCAGCTGAAGGAAGGTATTGTACACACCCTGGATGTTATTAAGGTTGCTTTATTGAGGTGTTAATGTGTTTTTATTATTAAGGCAACATGTACAGGAACAAAGAGCAAGAGGGTGGGGCCTGTATACATGTGGGTGGGGCTTCAGTTTCACAGTTTGGCCTTGTTCATGCGATTCATGAGTTTCTCCAACTTGATCGCCAGCGTCATGTCTCCTTTGATCTTCAGCTTCCCTGACATAAATGCCATCGTGGGCTTCAGTTTCCCTGAAATAACAAAACAGCAGCTTCACTAATGTTTCCTATAGTCATATTTTTTTTTATTGCCATGGTGACAGGTTACCTGAAAACATCTTGCTGAAGTCACTGGAGTCCATTTTCATGACAACGTCAGCTTTGGCGGGGGGCTCGCCCTGCCCCACACTGCCCGAGCCAGTCTTCAAGTCCAGAAACCAAACGCCAGTGTGCTCTCCTTATATGGACATAAACAAGTGTTGAAGACACGCCCATTGAATCTCCTTATATGGACATAAATGTTAAAGACACACCCACTGGACTTGCCCCTTTAATTCCTTGTTACCTGACAGGTCAAACTGATAGATGCCCTGAATAGACTTGACAACGTCTTCATTAATGACTCCTTTGATGACATCAAACGTGGTTTCCACTGGGCCTCCAGAGGTGGGCGTGGCTGATGATGAGGATGGTGGTTTAAAGGCTGGCGTTGCCCCTAGGAAAAAATAAGAAGGTGTTAAAAATGGTAAAGACCCCGGGGCTGCTGGGATGTCAAAGTCAAAGCCAACGTCTTTATTTTTTTTAGTTTTAGTCTTTTCACCAGGTGACTGGCTAAAAGAGCTCCATGGTAATAAACTTAATGTTCCCATTTATTCTTGATAATTTCACAGTGACTGAAAGTATTTCTCCTAACACAAATTATTGCACTGCATTTTATTTAGATTTGAATTTGTTGAATTCCTTTGTTTTTCCTATTTAACGGAGTCCCTTCATAATTCGCTTTTTTACTTTATTGATCTATTTCTTAGACAGGACAGTTGTTCTATTCGTTACAGTGGCTGTGTCCCAATTAAGAGACCG